AAAAAAAAAGTCATCTGCTCCAGACTCAACCTAGTTATATAGTAGACAGTTGTACTGGACACTTAACCTCTGTTAAACTGTTGAATAGTTGACTTGTTTCAACTGGTGGAAATAGCCTTTTCAGATGCAGCCTGAATCTGTGTACCATAGAATTGGTGGTTTGTGGCCCAGTGGAAGACTAATCTGCTTGCAGATCCTGGAATTCAGAACTATTTTCTTGGCATACTTTTCTTTCCAATTTAGAGATCTACAGTCTTTGTGTTGATGTGTTGGATGGGGAGGAGCTAGGTTATTATTTCCAGTCAGGGTAGACTGTAGAATCATAGAATGGTTTTTGGGATGGAAGTGACCTTTAAAAATCATCCAGTCCAACTCCCCTGCCATGGGCAGGGACATCTTGCACTAGATCAGGTTGATCAAAGCCCCGTCCAACCTGACCTTGAACACGTGCAGGGATGGGGCATCCACAACTCCTCTGGGCAGCCTATTCCCAGGAATGGTTAAAACCTCTCCTTTCAGTTGTTGGATAATGCTGCTGGCTTTGTCCCTGCCAGGGTTTGTGAACACGCTGGCACATGGCTCCAGCAGAAGGTGCTCAGCTAAAGAACTGCCCTGCAAAGGCAGACGGAAGGTGTGTCTACCTCCCTGTGCCCTGCAGTTGGCTAGCTGTGGACACTTGAGCGAAAAGCAGCAAGATCACAGTACAGGTGATAATCTCTTGTATCTCTATCCTTCCAGTAGTCTCTTGTTCAGGAATGTCCTTAAATAGTGACTGTAAGGGCCACTGTTCTTAGTATTACTGTAAAGCCTGTGCCAAAGAGTGGTCAAGCATTGGAACAGGCTGCCCAGAGAGGTGGTGGAGTCGCCATCCCTGGAGGTGTTCAAAAAACATGTAGACATGGCACTTCAGGACATGGCTTCGTAGGCATGGTGGTGTTGGGCTGATGGTTGGACTGGTGATGTTAGAGGTCCTTTCCAACCTTAACGATTCCTAGTTTTACTTCCATTAAAAATTAATCCAGCCACCAAGCCAGGAAACATGAAATTAATTATTACTCTACCCTTAACTGGTTTAGTGGTGGACTTGTTAGTGTTAGGTTAATGGTTGGACTGGATGATCTTAAAGGTCTTTTCTAACCTAAGCGATTCTATGATTCTGTTAACCTATCTAATCTATTTTTAAATTCACTTTTTTGGCCTTTGTGTGGCAGTTCATGTTGCATGGAAGTGCTTCCTTTTGGTTTGCTTGTGAACATACTCTTAATGATTTAAGTGGTAAGCTGTAACTTTGCATTGGGAACATCATCATCTCCATGTGGTTAATGACTGTAGACTGTTCTCAATAAAAAACAGACTGCAGTGGCTCCCATATTCTCATCATCATGAAAAGATGATGTTATACAGCCTCTGTGGTGGCTTGTATTCCTGAAAATGTGCCATTGCCCCACAGGAAGCACAGAATGTCAAACACTGGATTTCAGTTCAGGTAGTGTCAGATCAGTAATGAGTAACATGCTAGTGAGACTGTAATAATGTGAGAAATTGTGATCACTTGTGCAAGAGGGAGGAATCTGAGCAAATGTGGACAATGGTCTTGAGGATGATTTCAGTATTCATTGGATGAGAGGACACAAGAACAGTTTTAGTCCAGCACCTGCCTGTAGATCAGATTGTTGCTGTCCCTGCATGTATGAGGTGTCTTAAATACCTGGGAGAGTGACACAAGAGCAAATGGTTATGAAGTGGACACAAAAACAATTAAATTAGAGATTAAAAGATAAGTGAGCATTCTAGCAATAAGATTCTGACAGTCATCCTAAATCATAGTGAAGTAAAAACTGAGCAATTATTTAGATGGTACCGTAAACCTGCAATAGGGAAATAAATGAATGGGTGTCTGTGGTGGTAATTCTTATAGTCTGTCTCCCATTTACTCTGTCCAGCCTAAAAAAAAGTCTGCTCTGTCTTCTGTGGCTGTTGATTAGTTTTGGCATGTGCAATATACAAAAAGTATGAAACTAACAGCTGGGGATGGCACCTGGTTTGACCCCTAGCTAGTGAGGTAGATAAAAGGCATCTTTAGCTTACCCTCTGAATGTCCTTGGTGTGGTTATAACACCTTTTTTTGGAACAAAGTAGGAACCTGTAGTGAGCTGTCAGCATGCTTTTACCAGCTGGAAGGAAGAGACAGTGACCTGTGGTTGGTAAGTCCTCCAGGAGACCACCAGCAGTAATCCATGAAAAAGATACTTTGGAGCAGGAGCTCTGCAGTGGTTGAAGTTCGTTTGTCTTTACAGGACACAGGACTTAGATCAGTGATGTGACTTCTCTTCCCTTCAGAAATCCCATGTATGAATGTTTCAACAAGCAAACTTTAAAAATGGACAGAATAGTCAAGTGTAGGTTCTGCTTGTCTAGGTAAGCTGTCTGATCTACTACCTTAGTGATTTGAAGTGATTGGGATATCCAGTTTAGTTTCAGATAGCGGGGGGGAGGGGGTGGGGGTGGTTGAGTTTGGGGGTTTTTTTGACTGGGCTTTTTATTTCCCACTTCTTTTGCCAGCAATAGAGCTGTTTACCAGCTCTTTCATGAGACCCTTTTAAATGGAGGGAAGCTGCTGTTGTGCTGCTCCTTGTAAGCTAAATCTACTCCTTTTAGCCTTTGCTCAGGGGTCATTTTTCTAAATCCTGTGGATTTCTCTCAGGTACTTTTCCACTTTGCTTCCCATGGTGTTCAGCTTTGGTTGCAGTGATCCTAGATGAGGCCTCAGAGCTGAGTTGTGAAGACTTAATTCCTTTTCTTTCCTTAGGCAGTACTTTTATGTATGCTGCAAGCTAGTGTAAGCCAGCACTGCTACCAGAAATAGCTAGTATAAACATCTGTGTAGTTACTCTGTGAGTTGTCCTGGAGAAGCAGATCTGTGTAAAAACTATCGCTTTCTCTGTGTGTTTGGTACTAAATCGAGGCCCTGGTGCAGTTTTGCAGTGACTATTCCCCACTGTCCCACCTGCCGCAACTGCAGAGCCGACATCCCCTTTTAAACCAACAACAAATTCAGCTTACATTAATATGTGAGGTGTGAGCTGTGGTGTTTGAGGCTTGTTATTTACAGCCTCACTATATTTAACAGCAGTGGCTAGAAAGGTTATGACCTCAAGAGTTTGGAGGTGGAAGAGGGCATGTGGCCAGTAGCCTCTTCAAGTATGTGGAGTCAAGGGTCCTTGGCCCTACATTTCTCTGCTCTGATTGCTCTGCAGTGCATTAGACAGTCTTTGAAAACTAGATGGGTGTGGTGTGGACAGATCTAGTTATAATTTCTCATTTTATCGCGGAGTGGGTAATTTATTATAAATTGCTTTTTGTAGCCTCTTGACAGTGCTGAAGTGATCCAGAGGTAGGATGTTGGAGCCAGGAAGGTAGTGTGCTTGGATCTGACCAAGTATCTTAAGCAGCTCATCTCAACCTTCATAGCCCATGCTCAGTTTCAGTTGGCCAAGTAAAATTCTGCACCCCATTGTAGGTGTCTGCCTTGATGACAGGATAGGGACTCTTCGTCATTTCCAGCAACACTGAGTTTGAATACTGTAAGCCAACACTTACCAGCACTGTAGCAGTGATGTAGGGTAATGTAACAGTGTGCCTGGCATATGTTGGCCTAAATTGTTTTCAGGGTGGAGAAATTTGGTAAGTATTGATTCTTAAATTAATGAGAAGCAAATTGGATGCTCTCAAATTGGGGAAAGATATTGTCTGAAGACAACGTTCAAAACTTTCGAAGTATGATTTCAGTATTTATTCTATAATAGTTAAAAGCTGGGTTGTGGAAGACATGGTGTAAATCGATCTTGCAGAGATATGCATGTACCAGACAGCAAGTCTTCTGAGGTATAAGATGTGTTATTTTCAGAGGTTTATATCTAATTTGACCCTGTTTAACAGGTAAGGAATTGAAAAGTTACTGATTCATCACTGGTGAAGGTAGCTAATCTATAAATCAGTACCCATTTGCTTTTTGTAGCATGCAAAATTGACTTTTTTATGTGTCTGTGTACTACTCATCAGTGTATTTCTTTATACTATTTGCACATCTGTATATGCAAATAGAAGCAGAGGCAACTGTTCAGTGATGTTTGCATATGTAAAATAGGCTGTGCTCAAGGCTGTGATGAACTATATAGAGTAAAACCTGTGTGGATTAATACTACACAGCTGTACCATAGTTTTATATCAGTCAGGTAAATGAGTGGGATAAATACCTGCTTATGGTGCTGTTCTGTATTGGCTTTCAGTTTTAGTCTTGCAGCAAAGAAACTCTTTTTGAAAATGAAGCTCTTACAAAAGTTCCTTGAGTAAGCATTTCTACTGTGTAATGTTAGTGTAGAAGGGGCATTGATTTTAAGTATACTTAAAATATTTGAAATTTTGTTTCATAATTTTTGTGCCTGTAGCTAGAGATGTGCCGTTTAGAACACGAAGTTATTGGGAATTTAAGCTAATAACTTTTAAAAATTTTTTCCTACTCTTAAAAAAAAAAAAGGTATGTTAGGGCTGAGTCCGCTTCATTTTGGGTGGAGTTAGGTGGGGAAAGTGATAATAAGTTTACATTTTAAACTGGAAGATTCTTCACATTCAGAAAATATTAAACTAAGCCTGTGGAATAATACCTGTTTCCCAAACTTCTGGTTTTGGGACTGACCCCTGGACTTACCCTTATTCCTCTGAGATTTTGATTTTTTTCTTCAAAGGTATGAGTTGGGAATTTGGGACAGGTAATGAAGCTGCTAGTTGAAAAATAGTTTTCTTACTGCCATATTATAGTGAATTAAATGGCCCGGTCTTAGGCAAATGTTAACAGTTACTTTTAAGTAGCTGATTTTCTGGCATGTTTGCAAATGATTTTTAACTAATAGTGCACGTGGCTGAAATCTAAAATAGTGTTTTTGCATTTCTTTTGTGTGACTTTCATACTAACCTGACTGATGAACGAACATACACTGAAGGAATTGGTAAATTGTCCACTGCTGATGGTAAAGCCTTCGCAGATCCTGAGGTTCTCCGAAGACTGACGTCCTCTGTCAGCTGTGCGCTGGATGAAGCTGCCGCTGCATTGACACGAATGAGAGCAGAGAACAATCACAATGCAGGACAAGTGGACAAGTATGTATTAATTGCTCCCCACCCCCAGTTTCCCAACTATAGAATGTAAGTTTGTATTTTTAATTTCAAATTCAGTTAATTTTATAGTTAGTATTTGGTAATGTATCTCTCTACTACTAGCAGAAGCAAAGTGTGAAGGTGTAACTACTGTCCCATCAGGTTATTGGCTTCAAAGTGTAAGAGAAAAGTACAAAAAAATGTTACTTTCTAACCTGCTACTCTTTCTGTTTACTAGACAGTCGATTTCTTTTTCAAAAACGGGTTAAATTCTTAGCTGTAGAAGAGTTAGTGATAGTTCTCTAATTACTGCCTCAGCATATTTTCGATACTAATGAATCTAGTTCATTGTGTGAAAAGTTGGAAGAGAATACTAATACTTACAGGGCAGCGATCTGCCCCAGGATCTTGCTCAGGAACTTAGCGGAAAATGAAACTATATTATCTGATAACTTTTTGTAACTGATAATGAAGATGGCATTTAATTCCCATGATGACAGAACTGAGGATTAGCCTTATGTTGTCAAAACTTTTCTTCTACATTGGTAATTCCAAAGCATCTTCAGGGGTCCTGCAATATTTTCTACTCTGACAAGTGGTGCAAATAGTTCCTAAACTGCTGGGATGGTATGACTGCATATACTGCTGAACTTCAGATCTAGGGTCAAAATTTGAAAGTCTTAAGTTTCCATTCACATGGATGTCCTCTTGAAATTCTGAATTGGGATTTGCAAAACAAAGCGCTTAAAGTAAAGGCAGTATTCTTGAGTCATTGCTCAAAATGTAAATACAAATACATAACAAATATAGCTTCATTTCCTAACTAAGCTAGAGAAATTACTTGTGGATCAAAACATCGGGAGATGAAAATATGCTGGGGAAGCATGCTTGAACGTAAAAAGGAAGCATACAAGAGGTGGAGGCAGGCCATGTGGCCCACAGGGAATATAGAGACAATGTCCAAGCATATAGGTACATGATTAGGAAAGCCAGAGCCCACCTGGAGTTGAATCTGGCAAAGAGCATGAAAGGTAACAAGATAGACTAGTGTGATATATCAGCTGCAAAAGGAAGATGAGGAAAGATGCGGACCTGCCTTGGAATATGGCAGGGGACCTAGTGACGGGGACACAAAAGAGGAAGAGGTAGTGAATGCTGCCTTTGGCTTGGGCTTTACTGGTGAGACTTCCTTTCAGGAATCCCAAGGCCCTGAGATGAGCAGGAAGGTCGTACTTGGTTGGTATCAGGTCAGAGAGCATTTAAACAGGTTGGACATAGTCCAGTGGACCAGTTCATGGGACCTGATAGGATATACCCATGAGTACTGAAGGAGCTGGCTGATGTTACTGTGAGGCCAGTCTCAATTTATTTGAAAGGTCACGGAGAACAAGGGAGGTTCCTGAGAACTGGAAGAAAGCAAATGTTGTCCCTGTCCTCGAGAAGGGCAAGAAAGAGGATCAAAGGGACTTATAGGCAGGCCAGCCTCACCTCAGTCCCTGAAAAGGTGATGGAGCAAATCTTCCTGGAAGCCATTTCCTAACATAGTAAGTACAAAATGGTGATGGGAAGTAGTCAGCATGGTTTTATAAAGGAGAGATCAAAACTTCTACAATGAGATGGCTACATTGGTACATGAGAGGAGAGCAGTCAATGCTGTTTATCTTGACTTTAGCAAGTCTTTTCACACTGTATCCCACAGCATCCTGTGGGACAAGCTGATGAAGTACAGACCAGGAAGGTGGACAGTGAGGTGGATTGAAAACTGTCTGAACTACTAGGCTCAGAGTTGTTAGTAGCACAAAGTCCAGGTGAAGGCAAGTTGCTAGTGGTTTACTCCAGGGGATGATAAAGGGGCTAGTACTGTTTAATGTCTTCATCAATGACCCACATGATGGTACAGAGTGCATCCTCAGGAAGTTTGCGGATGATACAAAACTGAAAGGAGTGGCTGATGGACCAGATGGTTGTGCTGCCACTCAGAGGGACCTTGACAAGCTGGACAAAGGGGCCAGCAGGCATCTCATGAAATTCAACAAAGGGAAATGCAGAGTCTTGCACCTGGGGAGGAATAACTCTGTGCATTGGTATGGATGGGGAGGGCTGAATGGCTGGAAATCAACTTTGGAGAAAGACCTGAGTTTCCTGGTAGACAAGAAGTGGAACATGAGCCAGCAATGCACCTTTGGAGCAAAGGTTAACAGCATCCTGTGTTTCATTTGGAAGAGCATAGCAGTGTCATTCTTGCCACTTTTGCAAAATGTCTTGGAAATATCTCGAAAGTAACCTGAGCAGGGAGCAAGCTGGGAGACCTCTTGAAGTGCCTGGGTCAACTAGAATCAACTAGGAGTCTTGTTTGTAATAGCTTTTTCCCAGAGCATATTTGGTTTCACAGCAGTTCTGCATTATATGAGGTGGCTTAAGGTCATTTTCTGAGAATGATGGATCTGTTTCAGGTTTTTTCTCGCAGGTTATGGTTTTGGGTGGCTTCCATTTCTAAAGGCTAGACTATGCATGTGCAAAAGTGCATGAATCCCCGCCCTCTCCTCCCAGCTGAACGCAGGAACCTGAGCTGTAAATGCCTGGTTACGTGTGGGTTGCAGCAGGGCTCTTTGACAGCTTGTGCTGTGAGTACACAGCTGTCCCTTACTACCTCCCAGGAGAAGGTGGCAGGTTTGATAGTGTCCTGCAGCCTTTTAGTGGGATCCCATTGTTTCAGTATATGGACTTGACTATGTAGCCAAATAATAAACTTTACCAAAACATCAGTTATTTTTCTTAAAATAATTAGTGATTACAGTGCAAATGTAAGTGATCAGATACTGGATATTCTCTTCAGGTCAGATCTCAGCTTTTATCTAGCAACTGCTAGCACAGTTTATTTCATTTTGGGGTATATAGCAAATGAGTTTCTTTTAAAATAGAGACTTAACATTGTTTAACCATTACAGTCTTTGAACAATTGAAAATTGAAACTTGTATGCTCTCCTGAGGGAACTTTGTGCTCAAGTAGATATTTTCTTCATTGTGAGTGAATTTCTTGAGTCAACTATCTTTTACAGAAGAAAAGTAGAAGTTTGAGGTTTTTATTCAGTCTGAGTGTACTAGTTTTTGTTTTAAGAAACAAACTTCCATATCTTGCAAATAAAATATACTGATAGGAATGCATCACATACAGTCCTCTACTGTTTATAACAGAAGGCTCTTCCTCCCTTCCCCCTCCCACCAGGGTGTTAACTGTTGTTTGGTTCCCAGTGGCTGAGGGACCATGATTTCTTGCACATATTTTCTAAATAAAATTGTATCATCAGTTGGAGAAGTGTAACTGAATTGGTACTGAGCATTACTTGCTCTTGTTTACACTTGTGTTTAGCAATGGTTTAACAGTTGTCTTTGTTAGATTTTTTTTTTGGTACCGAAAAAGATTTAAAGGACAGATGACTTGGTCTGAAGTAAACTGAAGCTCAGCTCACCTATTTTAAGATTTGTTTAGTGAACTTTTGTAGGTCTCAGGAGAAATAGCTATTCTCTCTGCTTCGGAGATTAATGATGGTTAAAGTAGTGATTATAGAAATCTGAGCCTTTAGATGCCAAGAACTTGGGGTTTGTCTTGTTTTTTCTTTCTAACACTGAGCTTGTAATTACCTCTTATAACACTTTTTTTAAGGATGAGTTAGTAGTGTTCCATGTAGGATTTCTGGTGAAATTGCTGGTTAAAAAACCCTGCAGTTTCAGTTGGCTTATTTCATCCATCTGAAAACTTCCTTAATATGCTTTTAAAGGTGCATGAAAGAAAACATAGTAAAATTCTGTAAGGCTCCGCTCCTTTCTTCCTTTAATATGTCATTAGGTAAGGTAAGGATTTTTCTTTGGAATGGCTGCTTCAATTAAGAAACTGGTGTTTTCAATTAAAAGAAGAAAGCTGTGGGCTAGGTCAGAGATGGAAGTAGTCCCACTACAGGAGAGAGAACGGTCAGAAGTTTGTCTTGTTGCAGTATTCAGTATTAGTGGTCTTTGATACTAAGCTGTTCACTCTTTGGCTTTATCTCTACTAGAAATTTGCCTTGGTATCTATAGTCAGTAGTTTGTCATGGTGATAGCCTCTGAGCATTCCACCAAAGTGTGAATAGCATCAGTGAGGTTTACTTATGTATCTTGTAAACACCACAAATTACCTAGTTTTGAGCACTCTTCTCTGCATCTAGTCTATATGAGAGCTTATGTGAGTTAGCAACTGATGAGGATAAGACCTAATTTAGGCATAAGCAAGGTCTTTACCTCAGTTTCACCTATGGAAATAATGTGTATATATACTTTTTCTTAAAAAATATCTGTAAAAGGTATATTTTCTAGTAAGGCTTAGTTCTAATGTCATGAGTCTTTAAGTAAAGACTTCTGCCTTGCATAGGAAAGCTACCCATCTATTGCAGGTTTATTTTGAGCTTATTCTATGGTAACTGATTTTCCAGTCGCAGTTTGGCAGAAGCATGCTCAGATGGGGATGTAAATGCTGTCCGGAAGCTGTTGGATGAAGGAAGAAGTGTAAATGAACATACTGAAGAAGGGGAGAGTCTCCTTTGCTTGGCCTGTTCAGCCGGATTAGCAGGATATTATGAATTGGCACAAGTAAGTAACAAATATAATCACAACTAAGCATTGTGAAGCATTGCCTAAGGGGCTTCTTTGATAGGTAAACATTTTAGCTATTCTGATTATAATTTTTCATAATCTGAACAGAATATCAGTCACTAGAGCTTATTGTGGGCTTCCAGTTATCATTTGTCTTTTTAATAGAAAATGCTGTCATATATGCCTTTAGGTTTAAGGGACTTGTCTGAGGAATGTATCTTGTGTTTTATGTTGTATCTACTTTTCTGGCATTGTTCTAGATGCAGTCAAGCTGTTCTGCCAAGCAGACATTGCAAGAGGATCTAAAATAGCAGCAAAATCAAACACTACAAGTGGTTACCTTCTAAAAACTTGTGTCTCAATCACTCAGTCCTTTTTTTTTTTTTAATCACATCTGTATCAACAGTGCATTAAGTTGTGTTAATTTTTGGCTTTTATACTTGTGTATGTAAGGGCAGAATTTGTACTTCTTGGAAGATGTTTAGGTGATAGTTCTCAGAAAGTGGCCAGCTTCATGTCTGGGTGCCAGGCAAGAGTACAGGGAGAAAACTGTTTACCTATAAGCTTGACCCAATGTGTGCTGTGGTCATTAATGCAAGTTAGAGTTTCTCTGCTATTATTCTGGTTGGTTAATTGCCCTGTGACTTTTGAAAATGTCAGTATTGCACTGTAACTTAATGTTGATTTTAGTAGATATGAACAAATGTAGAAAACCAGCATTTCCTGAGGCAGTGCACACTGCAGGTAGTAATTATAAATGGTCCTGGGGAGTGCCATTGTGCTTCACCATTGGGGGTATTACTGCAAGGGGATGTCACAGCTGGCTGAGGAATCATTCTCACAAGCCCCACTGAACTAAAAGCAAAATGTTGGTGTTACAATTTATTCATTACAGTGAACTTTCTTCTATAGGTGCTACTAGCAATGCATGCAAACGTTGAAGATCGAGGGAATAAAGGAGACATAACTCCCTTAATGGCAGCTGCCAGCGGAGGCTATGTAGATATTGTTAAACTTCTCCTTGTTCATTGTGCAGATGTCAACGCACAGTCTTCAACAGGTAACTGGGAAGCAGGAACATGAAGAATTAATAAGACTGGCACATAAGATGTGCAGCTGTTGTGAACATCTGTGTCTTTCTGATAGTTTCATTCACAAGAAAACATGACAGGAACTATTAAGAATAGGCCAGATACAGAGCGGATGTGTTTAGAGTCTTAACTGGCCATTATTAAAGATTGTTTTTAGTATAAACTGTAATGGAAAGCGTTGTTCCTATGAAAACCACTGTGGTGGTAGATGACCAGAAAAATACATGAAGTTTAGTTTTTCTAATCTGAATAATCCAAAATTACCCAGTAAGAAGACGATGGGACATGTTTGGTCAAGACCAGTTATTTCAGTCTATGGCTTTTTACCAAAAAGGAGGTACAATTCCTTGAGCATTGAATATTGTCTACATTGCTGATGCTTGACCACAGCTTAACTAACCTCACTGAGAGTATTAACCTGCAGTTGGATTCTGCTAATATTAAGATAGAATTTAAACTTTTTCAAATTTTGAAAAAGTCCTGTGTCTGAACTATGAAATGTTCTTTTTATCTTGATGTTCAGCCATATTAAGCAGAGCTTACCTTAAAATCGCCTGTAGCGTTTAAAACATGAGCCGTATGTGATTGTCTGTCACTTACAGTACCAGAGTTTTAAATTATAAATTTATTTTCATCCAGCCAGTGGAAGTTTTTCAAGGGATTACAGGATACAGTTCTAGGCAAAAAAAACCCCAAACATGGCCCCCCCACCCAAACTCTACAGTGAGCATGAAAATTACTCATTGAACTCTTTGTGTGTGTATTTGATCTCTGTGTGCTTAAATAGGAAACATAATAATCAAAGAAAAAGAAATTCTGATTTGTAATATTGGCTTAGCATTAAAACTCTTTTACATTATAGTTGTGCTGGGATTTTATACCCAGCCTGAAGTTATAGGCTGGAGTAACATTGTTGTGAGGTAAAAGGCTGCTGCTAGTATTGTACTTGGTTTTGTTCAGAGCTGTTAAAACTAATTTCCTTTCCTGTATTAGGAGTGGGTGATGGAAGAGGCTTTCATGTAAACTACTTCTTCTCTGCAGGGAACACAGCTCTCACTTACGCATGTGCTGGGGGCTTTGTTGACATAGTGAAGGTGCTATTGAAAGCTGGTGCTAATATAGAAGACCACAATGAGAACGGGCATACCCCCTTAATGGAAGCAGCCAGTGCAGGTCATGTTGAGGTTGCAAGAGTATTACTGGAATATGGTGCAGGAATCAACACTCACTCCAATGAGTTCAAAGAAAGTGCACTTACACTTGCATGCTATAAAGGTATTGTATCTTGCCTTGTTTTGTGTTTTTGTTTAAATTTATTTGCTAGGATTTATCTAGCTAAAGCTTCCAGCTATACTTTGAATTTTGGAATACTGGATTTTGGTTTTAAACTTGATGTCAGGAAATGCTCATCCATGGTGTAGTGGTGTTAAGCCTGTCTGCTTGTGTCCAAATGTGGTAAACATGTATTCAACATGTTGCAGATGAAAACTTGTGACTGGTTGTGTCCAAACTTGTGCTTTGACATACCACCACCATTCTCCTCTTCCCTGGCTACCACATTCTGTACTTCATTCAGATTCCCCTCACCAACTATCTGCAAGTTCTGAGAAGATCTCTGTTAGTTGCTAGGAAAATATGAAGTTAGAACGAATGTTCCTGGAATACCTGATGGGGTGAAAATGCTAGTATTATCACTGGATGTGTTTCCTTCAGTGTAATTTTGGAGGATGTCTGTGAATTGTTATGTATTATGAACTTTTATGGACTTTTGACTTAATTTCTTTTGCTATTTAAAGTTTCTGTGTAAAGTAACTTAGTGCAGTGGTAATCCAATGTGCTTCCAAGTTTTTTTTTATCCTCCCAAAAACCTCCATAAAATTTCCAACAATTGTTTTTCTCCTAATATAAGCTTTAAGGATGCGGATTATTGTCAGAGTAACCTATGGATAAGGAATTGGTTGGATGGTCGAATCCAGAGGGTAGTGGTCAGTGGCTCAATGTCCAAATGGAGACCAGTGACAAGTGGTGTTCCTCAGGGGTCCATACTGGGACCAGTGCTGTTAGTGAGAGGGAGTGCACCCTCAGCAAGTTTGCAGATGACACCAAGCTGAGTGGTGCAGTTGACACACCACAAGGATGAGATGTCATCCAAAGAGACCTGGACAAGCTGGAGAGGTGGGCCTGTGTGAACTCATGAGGTTCAACAAGGCCAAGTGCAAGGTCCTGCACCTGGGACAGGGCAACCCTCGATATCAGTACAGGCTGGGGGATGAAAGGATTGAGAGCAGCCCTGCAGAGAAGGACTTGAGGGTACTGGTAGATGAAAAGCTGGACATGAGCTGGCAATATGCGCTTGCAACCCAGAAGGCCAACCGTATCCTGGGCCACATTAAAAGAAGTGTGGCCAGCAGGTCAAGGGAGGTGATGCTGCTGCTCTACTCTGCTCTGGTGAGACCCCACCTGGAGTACTTTGTCCTGCTCTGGAACCCTCAGCACAAGAAGGACATGGACCTGTTGGAGCAGGTCCAGAGGAGAGCCACAAAAATGATCAGATGGCTGGAACAACTCTCCTACGAGGACAGGCTGAGAGAGTTGGGGTTGTTCAGCCTGGAGAAGAGAAGGCTGCGGGAAGACCTTATTGTGGCCTTCCAGTACTTAAAGGGGGCCTATAGGAAAGATGGGGACAATCTTTTTAGTAAGGCCTGTTGTGACAGGACAAGGAGTAATGCTTTTAAACTAAAGGAGGGTAGATTTCGACTGGATATAAGGAAGAAATTTTTTACAATGAGGGTGGTCAAGCACTGGAACCAGTTGCCCAAAGAGGTAGTGGAGGCCCCATCCCTAGAAACCTTCAAGGTGAGGTTGGATGGGGCTCTGAGCAACCTGATCTAGTTAAAGCTGTCCCTGGTGACTGCAGGGGGATTGGGCTAGATAACCTGTAAAGGTCCCTCCCAACCCAAAGCATTCTATGATTCTATTGTCATAGAGGTTTTGCTTCTGTGATTGGAATTGGAGGATACATACTATGTATAACCCATCTGAAAACCTGCATCTGGATTTGTCATGGATTTCCTGCAGCATATTGTAGTTCCTTACAGAGACATTTCAGTAATAGTACTCCTGGATATGTGGGAGGGGCATTCTTGTTTCTTGTGACCTAAAACTTCATAGAGTGATGTAATATAAGATCTTCATTGGCTAGAGATGTCCTGTATTATCTTTGGCAAGATGGCTGAGCTGCCTTGTTTTTCTATCAGTTTATGGTAAACTAAATCTTGTAGTGGAGGAGGATGCTCATTAAGATGAAATATCTAACTTGTAAGGGACAAATTCTAAAATGACAGAAGCCATAATAGAGTTGAAAACAAGTGTTGGTAAAGTTCAGTAGAAGCTTTTAAAAATAGTATGAGGTAACATATAATGACATAATATGTGTATCTTAGTTCTCAGCCATATGTCTGTGAATGCTATGGTATTAAAAAGGTTAAAATTAAGTTCAGATCTACATGGACCTATCTCTAAAAGATAATCCCCCCCAGTTGTATGCTGCCTTGGAACATTTAAATCATATGTCATTATACAGTTGAGTAAGGAATAAGCACAGTCTTTTATAGCTTGAAGTCACAAGGAAAGGTTCCTGTTGTGTAAACTTGAATTCGACAGGTCTGTCTTCATCTCATAGTTGGGCAGTATATTTGGGAAAGACTGTATAAAGTCTGGCTGTCCGTTTTGCACTGGTATTTTTTAGAGTACTTTTAAAAAGAGCAGGTTTGCAAATTATAACTTGTAAAAATTGAAATAGGAAAATATGAAAATCTAAATTATTTCATTAAGTGTGTGTCTGTACTACTAAAAATTTCCAATATTAAATACTTATTTATTTTGATCTGTTTCATTTGAAGGCCATTTAGATATGGTTCGTTTTTTGCTTGAAGCTGGAGCTGATCAAGAACATAAAACAGATGAGATGCACACGGCGCTAATGGAGGCCTGCATGGTAAATAGCCTTAATTTTATTGCTCCCTTTTCAATGAGAGAGGAATAAAAGTTGATGATAAAATGAGCCTTTGTTAACAAGCTGTTTTGGGTCTGCAAGTGTGTGTGTGTTACTTTTTATTGTAAGAAAGCCTTTACTATAGTTACCACAGGTGGCCAAGCTTCTCAGTCTAATTCGTTGTAGGGCAAAATTCTCTAATTTTGGGGGGTGTGATGTGTTGTTTTAAATGCTCCCTACGTGAGTGTAGGGGTAACTAATCTGCAATGCAGGAAAGTAGTAGGTTGAGCCCAAGTCACTGTTTCTTTTGCAGTGTTAAGAGTTAGTTTTCCACGTTTGTCTTTGATCATCTGAGAGACCTTATTGATAATAGCATGAGCCTTCCGGAAGTGCACTGAGCTGGATGACTAATGCATGACACTTGTCCTTTCACCACTGCTGGAAGTGTTTTGCATGTGGAGGTGGTTTGCTCTCTTCTAGGTTTCTGTAAATGGTGCTGTGAGGTTTTTGTTTTGAAAATAAAACAGTAGGTCAAAAGTAGTTGTTAGTTCTTGAGTAACTCATATAATTTCAAAGCAGCCGTTGAGGAAGAACTTCCCTTTCCAAGAGCTTCATCTCAATCAAGATTGTGTTATTGTGTCAAAGCATATCTGCAACCATTTTTGTCCAGACCTCAGGTGACCTTTTATCTATTCCTCAAGCTGGTCAACTTCTTTGAAGAAAGAATAGGAGGGACCCTGTTTTCATAGGAAGTACAGTGAACAGAGGAAAACTTAATTTGCTCCCAGTAGCCTATAATCGTTAGAAGATAGGCTGCAATGTTCCTCCAGTCTTCCGAGAGCTGGAGGATCAAGTGGTTTTTTAGTGCAGTTATAAGGTGATGATGCAAGTGTCCAAGGTCAGATTATAATGTCTCAGGCTGTGTGGAAGTCTTCTGATAGTGAGATGGTAATAGTATCCTTGAATAGTCTTCCCTGTATGAGAGCCTAGTGCCAATAAGGAATTCAGAAAGACACAGTTGCAGTGGGTGTATGCTGTCACCTAAAGGAGTTTGCAGCATGACTGCAAACTAAATGTTTTAATCAGGCCACTGTTCTGTTTAGGTTTTAGTAAATTTTTTTTTTTTTGCTTTCGTGGTGATACAGTGAACACTGGGTTGACTTGCAGGCTATGAAGTGTCTTGCTTGGGGAAGATAAAGTTGTGTGCGTTACCTGCACATTTTTTAGCTCTTGGATGTTTCAGACTAGTTTGCATTACAGAGTGTGTCTTGACCGTTCAAAGCAACAGAGAAGAAATTGATCCTTTGAAGTCCCAGGTTGAATGATGGAGTTCATTCATTGTTATCTTTTGTCTGCACTCTTGCAGAAGGGAACCATTGCACCAAATTGTTGTGACTTTTCCCAGCTTTCACTGTTTTGCAGCTAATGAATGCTGCAGATACAGGAAGCTGAGATGTCTGGTCTCTGATCACCAATTATATTTTAAGTGCCTCTGAGTTTTAGTACATTTTGGTCAAGACAGAATGCCACACCTAGGATAATGCCTTTAGTTACATGAGGTGGTTGTTGGCTTTTAGCCAGCTTCTCTGAGAACAACGGCCTGTCTTAAATTTACAGACATGATTGCTGTCAGTCTTGGGTTACTACCTGCTTTGTGGTCAACTTCAGACAAGTGTTGACAGGAGTTGTGTGTTTGATATCCCTATTGCCCCCTTTTCTGTAGCTTTGTGTTTGAGTAACTGGCTGACAATTCTGGTGAGATCAGAATGGGGAACTGGTAGTTCGCTTGAGGTGGTTGTTCTTAATACATAAGAATTAGTGGAATTCTTAGCTTTATAACTTCATAAATCACCCCTAGGTATCAGTGCCCTAGCCTGGACAGCTCTGGCTTGAACATTTAGTTTGTCTCTCCTCCCCCCCCCCCCCCCCCCCCCCTTTAGTATTGCCTAACTTTATTTAGATTTCCTTCCAAGGACACAGTATAAAAACATCTGCTATTTGCCACTGAAATTGGCCCTTTTTATGTCTTCCTCAGGAATAAATATTCTTTAGTTCTCTAGCAAAATCTATCAGCATGTGTTGGGGCTAATTCAAAGAATTAATCCAGCTTAACTGTCAAATGCCAGGGGGAACCACTGTGTCAGGACACAGGGCTCTAAATCGTCAAAGCTGGCTGACAGTTTACTCCATCTAGAAGAAATCTATATTTCTTTGGATGGCAAATGGAGTGACCAGGGTGATGCACCTAATACCTATGAACCTGCAGTGTGCAAGGCAGCAAGTGGTTTTCTCTCCACTGAGAGATACAAAGAGCATGCTTTGATTCAAGTCTTTTACTTGGAGTTCCCTTTCCATCCTTAAGTTATCCTATTAATTGTTTATGCTGAAGAAAGGTCTAACATGAAACGTTCTCTGATTAGACCCTCAGACCTTCTATATCTCACTGAGCACTCTTTGCATGACTTGAACCTTCCCCCTTCATTAGGTGTAGTCTGTAGTCTGTTTCTGTTTTCCAAGATCTCGAAATTGTTCCACAAGTTTGGGTCCCAGTTTCTTAAGTATGTGGGAGGGAGAAACCATGTGAGTGTTTCTTCTTTCCTAATGCCAAAACTTCTTTACATTTTCCCCTTTTCAGAGGTATTGTGATTCTCTACAAACCACACCTTAGGTGAAACATGGATTTTTGTACCTGGTCAAAGTAACTTTGAGGAGTTTAGTAATAGTTTCTTGAGAAGCTGACAGCTGCATTTATATGCTTTGATTGGCAAGGGCTCAAACAGACTGCTCTGGCAATCCTAATTCTCCTCCCTCTATGGCAAAGATTGCTTTACCTCAAGGCACTTTTCAGTTTCCTTTAAGACTTATTTGAGTGTTACCTACCTCACGGTAACCCACTTCAGTTTCTCTGCAGGTATCTTTCTCAGGATCTAGAAACCGCCCGTTGGAGCTTTTTCTGTCTGTAGAAGCCATGAATCAACTACAAAGAAAAAGAAGGTCTTTTTTCCCATGCTTGTTTTAGGGTTTAGTCATGGAGTGGGTTTATTGCTTATGGTACTTGTTTGCTATCTCTGTTACTTTTGTGTCCTAGGTATTTTGCTGCATATTTAAGAAAGTATTATCCCATAACAATTTCCCTACTCCTCCAAGAAAGAAAAAAAAGCCAACATACATCTAGCAATTTTTTCCTCATGCATTTCAACCTAACTTAGATGTAGGTGGAAACCTAAATGTCAGTTTAATCCAAGTATTACCATAACAATGTCATAAATTGAACCCTCATAAGTAAAAAAGACCCTGTCTTTTTAGGATCATTTTCAGACCTACTATGATAGTGGTTGCAACTACAGCATCAAGGGACTTCAGCTGTTTCTGATTTTTGTGTTCACCTTTGTTTTGTAGGATGGACATGTGGAAGTGGCACGCTTGCTTTTAGACAGTGGTGCTCAAGTGAATATGCCTGCAGATTCGTTTGAATCTCCACTCACTCTGGCTGCTTGTGGTGGACATGTGGAGTTAGCAGCTCTTCTGATCGAAAGGGGAGCTAACCTGGAGGAAGTTAATGATGAAGGTTATACTCCTCTAATGGAAGCTGCCCGGGAAGGCCATGAAGAGATGGTAGCCTTGCTACTGGCACAAGGTGAGATCACTGTCATTTCTTGTGTTTATTATGAAGAATGCAGTGTTGACCATTTGCCATTAGATCTTCTGTGCAAATTCCTCTGATGTAACGTGTGGCTGTCACTGCTCATTGCTGTAACTACAAAGCAAAGCTAAAACACACGAACTGTGGAGGTGATAAGCATTCACCTTCCTATCCTGTGTCTGGTCAGTTAAAATAACAGCTGTTTTGTTTTCTAGGGGCAAATATAAATGCACAGACAGAAGAAACGCAGGAAACGGCTCTTACTCTGGCATGTTGTGGAGGGTTTTCTGAAGTAGCCGACTTCCTTATTAAGGCAGGAGCTGATATAGAACTTGGTTGCTCAACACCTTTGATGGAAGCTGCTCAAGAAGGTCATCTTGAATTGGTGAAATACTTGCTGGCAGCAGGTATGTGTACAGTGCAAATGATCTAGCCCCACGGATGTTAATAGACTCGATGTTCTATATGATTTAGAAGATACCTGGGCTTGATGGTGGCAGTGTTGTAACAAGAAACTATTCTCAGATACTTTAGCAAAAAGAAAAAAGCATATGTTACACCTTAATATTGTTTGATACTGTTAACAGCGGAAAGTGCCTCATGGAGCACTGGATTCTGTTGCGTATCTAAAAACCCTCAATGTTCATTAGGAACATTGTTTCCAGCCAGCTGCATTTAGGACAAAAATGTTAATACAGATAATGCTTGGTTTTTATATGCTACTCCTGCTTTGCCTCAGCCTGATTATCTGCAGTCAGTCTCCCTGAATAACTGGTACTTTAGGAATTGTGTCCTGGGAAATAGTGTGCAAGACAGATTCTGGAATGCACTGAACTTCTGTGGTGAATGAGTTTTACTACTATATTATACAGTACTAAAAATTAAATCTTGCTGGAGTTGGGGGGGAAATGACAATTCAATGTTCATCTGTCAGTTTAAAGTTGGTAGAGACTGAAGTGTAGTAATACTGCTTAAAATGATAAATAAATAAAAAGGAGCGGCATTTTTGAAATCTTCCTTGTTATGGGAGGTGATTTATTTGTATGCTTTTTTCTAAGATTAAGCATAAAATTGTCTTGATTTGTAATTCTAGAAAATAATGCTCCCTGTTCATCGAGGGACAGTAACAACTGTGTCTCTTTGGGCAGTGATACCAGCATGTGACACCCATCACCAGCTCACTTGGAATGCTGCTTGCACTTCACTTCTGATAACGTAGAAAGTTAATTGAGGAACCTTGTTTTGGCATCAGGGAGTCTCTAAATATATCTCACACCTTGAAAATAAGAAAATGGCTAATCACATTGGCATTTTCTTTTTTTTTTTTTTGAAGAATAATACATTACATAGCAAGAATCATGCATAGTTTTCGTGTAACTGGCATAAATGAAGCTAGTCACATTATTTCAACAAAATGGTTTTGAAGGAAATGATTTTAAAGACCAGGGAAGAAATTAAATTTGTAGAACTGTATGGTCTTGTAGTATTAATAATAATTCAGTAACATGCATTTTGCCTGGTTTTCCTTGGCATGCAGCTCCCTGTCAAATGGATAGTGTAGACAACTGTCTGGATTCACTTTTATTTGTTGTAACAACTGAAATCTTCATTGCTGTAGAGGGAACATAGGAATAAGTGAGCATATAGGTTTAAGTGCTTAGGTTGCCAGTCATGCTTTTTCTAAGCCTTGGCTTATCCTCTCTCCTCAGAGTCCTTTTACTGAGAGCAATTTTTACCATGAGGGCAATGCCCTAGGGCTGTGGAAGCTTTCAGTAGGATATAGCTGTTGTCACAGATAAAGTGCCTTGATTTTTGTGTTTATCTGATATGAAATACTTGATAAGGAGACATCCGACAAGAAAAAACAAATGTTGTTTTTCTAGGAGCTAATGTGCATGCCACCACAGCGACAGGAGATACAGCTTTGACCTATGCCTGTGAAAATGGACATACTGATGTTGCAGATGTGTTGCTTCAAGCTGGTGCTGATTTGGTAAGACTTCTGATGCTTCTTGTGGGGAAAGTACTTTGGTTTCAGACCATACGCTAAAGCTTACATGCTTATAGAGCAGGAAGACAATTTTAGTGATTGGGATTCATAAATGGGTGTGAAAAGAGGCATGAAAAAAACATTTTAAAAAGCCTGCATATTCTGTTTGTTCTAAAAAAATAAAAATTTTTATTGGGTAACCTTTCATCCACTAAATGAACAGTTTTAGCTATAGCTTATGCTTGTGACAGTTGATTATCTTCATTTCAGTATAATCCATAAGTTTAATTGTTTAGCAGGATATATTTCTGTGTTGCCTTTTTTCATTATGCTACTTTATTATTCACAAACTCTTGTGGATTAGAGATTACTTGCTCCACTGCTCTGAATTGAAAATGTTATAGTATTAGGAGCTACTACTTCTTTATTTGAATGTTACTTTCTGAACACTGTGAGTCTCTTAACTTCTTAAAACTAGAACGCAAAAAAACCCTAACTAAGCAATGCCTTTTAAGTGACCAGCATAATATGATCTCTTTTCTTTGTTCCAGAACTCTTTCCTTTCTTGTAACTCTTGGGTTTAGCATATTGCTTTCACAGTGTTTATTTTCTGTAATGCATTTAATCATAACTCAGTTGTTTACACAATTGTCTTGACTTTTTTCATATTATGTAGCAGGAGACCTAAAACTGCCTCTTCATCAGCTAGGGGATATAATGTTTGGCTTTTAAGCAGTAAAAAGCAATTGATAAGTTAGTCTTTCGAAGGAATTTAGGAGCCTTATGTCTAATAAGGCATAAGCCAGGAAGATAGTTCTTTTGGTTGTCTCCTTGTTTTTTCCCCACTATTCTCCTTTCTTTTTCCACACTCTCTGCTTCTGGGTGGGGTGGTTTTTGGTTTGGGGAGGGAGTTGGGGTTTTGGTTGGATATTTTAGGCGGTTTTTTGTTCCTTTTAAATAATAAGAGTGCCAGAAAAGTTTATCGTTGAACCTGATGAATCAAAATCCTAATAAAGTTACTTAAAATTTCAGTCTTAAATGAAGTATTTTATTTTTGTAAGATTATACTTACAAATATAAATAAATGAATGCTGTAATTGTGAGTTAATAATACTTCCACTCTTCTTTGTGAATATACTTTTTTCAGGCCTTACTAATTCTGCTTCATATGTTCCTGTGAGGGAGGAAGGTCATGTTTAATGGGGGGTGGGGGTGGTGTCTGTGGGGTTTTTGGCACAGCTGCTGCACTTTGCTCAATTCAGTGTTGGGTACTGAGCATCAGCCACTTCAGTAGAGGCAGGATAGGTTTGGGGGGTTTTATTGGGTATTTGAAAAAAAATATTTAAGTACTTGGTTATTAAAAGGTATAATCCATGAAGTATGTTATAGTGAAGAGCAAAGCCTGAAACAAAAAAATATAAAATGCTATGCATAAACTGCAAGAGTTGCTGCTTAAATATCACTTCAAATTGTTGTGTAATTTTTATTTTTTTTTCCTCTTATCACTAAGGTTAGCAGTGCTTGTGGCCTTTAGGATCTAGTTCTGATCAGTATTGCTGAGAAAAATCTTATGCCTTTCTAAAGTTTTACTTTACTGTATTTTCTTGTGCTGCCTATCAAAATGGGAGCTGTCAAGAAAAATATAGTAAGTCAGCAAAGGAAAATTGCACATAAAAGGGAGACCTGCCAAAGAAATCTGCCAGTTTTGAATTCTGATTGTAAGTAAATGGGGAAATGCCTGCAGAAATGCAGCAATGCTTACAGCAGGTGCCTCCGGTTTGGAGCAGTTTCCTTTCAAACCTCTGTGTTGCTTTGCTTTATTGGAAGTTGTAAGCTGTTTTGAATAAATTTGTTATCTTTGTAATTATTCTGAGGAAGGTTTCTGAAGTGTGTTGCCTTACTGCTGGAGCATGAAAAAGCTTCGTTGGCAGTACTGTGGGAGATTATTCTTCTGAACTTCAATTTTCATTAATAATTTAAATGAGGTTAAATGATATCACCAAGTTGTCCCAGGAAGTCTGTAGTGGAGTAAGGGATTGAATGCAGATCTGGACTTAGACCTGTGGTCAGTCTATCTTCATTTGTCTAGTTAATTTTGCTCTCTGTCTGGTGTTCAGACACAGCAAATGAAAGTACATCTCCAATTGCTTTTCTTTCTTTCCTTTTTCATCCTGCAACTTCAGTCTTCCCTGGGATTGTTTTCACTGATGTTTCATTGTTTTCCAGAAACCTTTATACCTGAGTTTTATATCACAGTCACTGAGGAGCTGGACATACAACACCTTACCCTGTTGTGGAGTGGCACTTTTTGAGGAAAATACTGGTTATGTCTTAAACAGTAAAATAAAACAGGGCTGAGGGGCTGTTCTCTGATTGGAAGGACAAGTGGCACCCACTGAACCCATCCATGCTGTGCAGAACTGGGCCTGGCAGGTCATTGAGCCTGGGGCTGTGCCCCTGTGTCTGTAAGAATGTCAGTGGCTACACTTCAGCCCACCAAAGTGGTGTTTTCATAACCGCAATACCAGGAGTATGCATCGGACACCCCTGGGTTGTGGGATGAGGTCTTGAAGGGGTTCTTGAGGGTGCGAGGCCTCCGAGGTAAGCGGAGACTGACTTGATGTCACATTTTCCATGCCACCCACTGGGAACAGTCCCTGGTGACCTCCTCCCGTGCAATTCTTGACAGGGCCAGCACTGTACCAGGGAGGCTGCAAGGGAATAAGCAGTGTGAATGACCAGTGATCTCATGCCTAAGCTTGTCTCCTGGCCCTGTTTTATTTACCTGTAGAGATGTAGCCGCTGCTGGATTTTGCTGCTGTTACTTTATTGGTTTGTGAGCCACCTGCATCTTCTATTTTCTTCCAGACCAGGAAGACAAGGAGCATAGTTTTTGAAGATTTTTCTTCTCCCTGATTCTAGATTGAGGAAAGGAAGTTGATCTTTCTTCCCCAAATGCTTTTAAGTTAAAGGAACAATAAACACTGGCTGTCAAGATCTGTTGCGATCAGTTCTCCCACTTCTTCTCAATTCAGAGCCTTATTCCATGATTTGGAAAGCATATAATCTACTTTAAGACCTCAAATCTTTCTTGGCTTCTTAGGTGTCTCTTTGATTGCCAGGAGGTCAGGACTGAGTGGGATTTGAGGTGCAGGCTTTGAGACTGCAGGTGTGAAGAGGAGCCTCTTTCATGCTGGGTTAGCTAAATCAGCAGAGGGCAGGAGATGTTTCTGTCAGGGGGTTTCCTGTATCGTGATCATTGAAAACTGAAGTCTTCCAACTTTGCTGAAGTTACACAGCTCACTCTACTGAACTGATTCCTGTGTTGTTTGTGTCCACATGAGGTTTTCTCAATCTCAAAATAGAAACTTGAGCTAAAGTTTGAGCATGCTTTATGATGAGGGTGGTGAGATGCTGCAACATGTTGCCCAGAGGAGTTGTGGATCCACCATCCTTGGAAAAGTTCAAGATCAGGTTGGACAGGGCTTTGAGCAACCTGACCTAGTGGAATATGTCCCTGCCTGTAGCACGGAGGTTGGACTAGATGGTCTTTGACGGTCCCGTCCAACCCGAACTGTTCTATGATCATTATATGGTAAGTGATTCTAGTCCCTTTAGAGTTTTGTCTGAAATGGGAGCAATTATTACCGCCACATCTCAGCACAAAAAGGCTGTTCTTCTTGCAAGTAGAAAATGGGAACTCTTGCTTTTCAGGGACTGATCCTCTGGTCTAGATACCAAAAATATTCAGTTCAAGGACCGGTGAAGATCTTGAGAGCTCTGTTAGATTCATTAGGGAATGTGGCTTTATAAGAACCAGGAGAACTAAAACAAAATGATGGCCAAGATGAACTTTCTTCAGTTTGTGGTTAGTTTTTCCTTAAAACTCTGCAGTGGCAAGTTAAACTATAAATTAACAGTATCAGAGTACACATTCATCTGTCTCTGCCTGCTGGAGAGCTGTTCAGTTGTGTATGGTATTTTGATGAATTTGTATTTCCTTGTGACTAATTGTTTATGAAGTCTGGCTTGTTACCAATTATTCTGGTGGTTTTCCGATGCCCTTCTTTAAGGGGTCTGTCTTTTCCATGTCATTACAAGGGACAAAGTTGGCCTGTCAAAATCTGTAGCAAAACTAGCTTGGCAGGCCTACACCTTTCCTTGTTAATGTATGCATCTTGAAATCGGCTTGCTTTTGCCAAGTATATGAATGACTTAATATGAGGCACGTCTGAAGACTTCAGCCTGTGATCCCGTCTGTGCCTTAGTTGCATTCTAGTTCCTTTATCACCTGCAGGACTAGAAACTTTCAGGGTCTTCGTCTGAGCTCCTGCCACTGGACCAAATGTAAATTTTACTTGTTTACAAACTTCTTTATGGGGACAAAACACCTACTTTAGATTTTGTGATGAATAGGAGTAAAATTCTGGAGATTAGAACTCTGAAATACAATTTGATAGAAGCATTTTTTCTAAGCGGTGGTATGGTTTAATAGCTTCAGGAAAAAAATGACCAGTACTTCAGTAATACAGTTATTTACCTGTGTGGCAAGGATTTGTCTAATCTTGAAGGTGAGAGGAGACTTTCGTTTTTCCTATATGAGTTCTCTCCCCACCCCCCCCACCCCCCTTCTTCTTTGTGTCTTTACTAGCAGTTGCTTTCATCTCAAAGCCTGTATAAGGTAAGACATGCGTGGTGCATGTATGTTCCCACAGGAACCAGGTTAAGGACTGTAAAACTGACAAAGAGTATTGGTGATATTCAATGAGAGGTAATATCCTGCTTTTAAGCTGCATACCTTTCTATAAACTAAAAGTGCCTGTTTGGATGCCTATTCCCTTTTAATGTAGAATCAGACCTGGATGAAATGCTGCACACTGGAGAGTCCAGTTTCCTTTTTGAAAGCAAGACTGCTCTTGACAAGATGGTTGCATCTTTGTGTGTTTCAGTGTAGCTGAAAACAAGAGAGAGATTGTTCTTTTTTTGGACAGTGAGAAGATCCCAGTTTTTCTCAGCTGGGAAGTATAGAAAAGAATTTTAAATTGGGGTTTTCTAATCTGGGCTGCCTTGCAGCTGTACATGAGGCTCTGCTGCACAGGGGAGTTGATTTAGTGGTGGAGTTCACCTTTCTGCTACAAGATATATGGGTGCTTTTATGCTGAAATTGAGAGATGGAAGAGAACCCCTGAGGGCAGCTTCATCCTTGCATTCTTCTCATTTTACACTGTCAAGCTCTCCCTAAAGCTCTTTATAGTTGTTAAAACTCCACACGTGGCTTTCCTTAAAAGACTAAAACCGGCTACCTGGCATCCACGTAAGTCCAGCTGGGGGGGGTGGTGGTGGGGGAACAGGCATTCCAAACTACCTCTTGATTCTTCCCCTATAACAAAATATTTTTACAGACAGATGTTTTTGTCATTGCAGGGATCATTGCTTTGCCTTCAGCTGATAACATCCCTCACACTAATGTGGATCCTTAATTAGAAACTCACTTTCCTTTATGTGTGACACACTATATGTTTGCAGCGTGCATAAGGCAGGATTTAAACGTCTACAAAAGTAGCCCATACTTTATGGATTTGAATGAAACCATGCTGGAGATAGCTATGTTGTCATTACAGTGAGGGATCTGAGAATCTGTCGTGTTTTTCCATACTGTTTCTTGAGCCATCAGGGGAAGGTCAGGGTTTTCAGGTCTTTTCAGATTTGGCCCTCAGTCTTCTACAAATAAAGCAAAAAGTTGTAGGACATGTGAAGCTAATTTTTGTAGTTAACACCTTTTGGATGTTGTGTTATAGTCTCTGGATGGTGCAGAGTACAATGAAATGCTCTCTTTTGCCAGTAGTGAACAAAAAGTCATCTTGTATTTAACGAGGTGCTGTGTATGACCTTTGTGCTTTCTTCATGAATCTGAATGGCTTGTGGTAGGAGTCTTAACTGGCAAAAGTTGCATTGCTTGGTTTTACCTTTGTGCTTGCTTGCCTAATTCCAGCAAAACAGTTTTCAGCTGGTGTATCTGATCCATCTGAGTTCACATTCCAGGTCTTCATGACCAAGAACAACATTTATTTGTAGAACAAGAGCCGTGAGTTCTCCTTTTTCCTTCCGCAGGACAAGCAGGAGGACTTAAAGAAGACTATTTTGGAGGGCATAGAGCCGGGCAAGCATCAGGTGAGGTTGGCCTTTGATGCTTGTAAGCTGCAGCCTCAGGATACATGCTAACAACAAGCATGGCTTCAAGGCATCTAAATTTCTTCAAAAACACAAAGACTCACTGTGTAGACTAGACATGTCATCTTTGTCCTGCATTTTCCCTTCTGTTGGGTTTTCTAAAACCTGATTTTTAAAAAATAGTATCTCAACTTTCACAAAGGCAGCAAGTTATCTCATTGAGTCTATTAGCACAAGTAGCTATGTTAAACCTCTTAGTACATATCTAGCTTCCTGTAAGGTCTTCCCTTTTCAGATATTTACTTTAAACTAGAGGCCTAGTTGAGTTTTTAGGTGCCTCTGAAATACTGGTTTGCTACACATCTCAGGAAGGTTATCTAGGACAATTCGGTTGCTGACTGCTATAATTCTGTATCTCTTGATAGGAGTTCAATCTTGAAAATGAGCAAAGTGGCGTAGTGTTAAGAAGTGTATTGTTTGGCTATTGTCTTGCATCCAAAACTTTGTCTAAATAATTTTGCTTAGAATAGCATTTAGATTTCCATTCAATATTCAGTGTTGTCATGCATGAGAGATGCTTGTTAAAGAATTGAAGAGAGCAGCTGGACCTTTACTTTGAAAATGCACATTTTTTTTTCTAGAACTTTTAAATAACATACAACACTGGAAACAAACTTGAAAAAAATATTCTAGTGAATAATACTTGCCAACCATGAATACTTGTGAACCAAGGAGAATAATGGAGGGGAAAGCCCTTGTGTAGCTGATCTTGGAATTGCCTAAAACAGAGAACTTGAAATCAAGAATAAAAAACCCTGATTGTTATAAGATGCTTCTGATGAAACTGCTTTTGCTCTGCTCTCTGAAGTACTGATTTGTCTAGAAAGGAAATAATTATTACTGACTGGATTTTCATCTCCTTTTTGAGTCCCAGAGGAAAAGGTACAGATAATGTAAACTCTTACCTGATTTGGGTAATACTCTTGCTTTCCCAAACATGCAGAAAATTCTTCTTAGGCGTTCTTTCTATTCAAGCGGAATTAGCAGGAGAGCACATCACGCAAGTGTTTAGAGATGGCTTTTCTAGTCAAAGCTGATGTAGGTGTTCTCTTTCTGATCATACTAACTGCAATATTTCTCAGGATTGGTGCAGTGAAGAGAGACAGAGTACTGTGGTGAGTCCTACAGTGCAGATAGCCGGGGAAATTGTCTTTGGAGATGAGTACTCCGTGCTAGTTTTTGTTCTTACAAGATATGCATTTGCATGTACTTCATATTAATAGAAGGAAGAAGCGCATTGGAAAGCTGATGGGGGATGCTTTTGGACAGCTTTCATGTCCTCTGTCCTGATTTTGATTATCTACTGCAGCTTTAAAAACAAACAAACAAACAAACAAACCACCCTTTGAAATTTATGACCATGCCAGGTAAAAGAAAGGATGCGAGTACACAAAGGCGCTGCACTGGCTCAGCTTCTTATTTTGGCTTGTACTAGATATTTTCTGTTAAAGCTTGAGTTGATGCTATCTGCTAGCCTTTATTAGGATTAAATAGAGTGCTGAAGAATTAATTTCATCTTAAAATATTTTCCAATGTGAAAAATACCATCAAAATGCAGTAACTTTTGGAGATCTACAGCAGGTGGGCACACAAATGGTTTACTTTGGCTGGACTGATGTGTATGGTACTGCAAGTATTTGAAGTGTATAACAGATGAGGATCAAGTTCTGCCTGCTTGATGAAGTGACAGTTGATTAAACTGGGCAGAATAACTGCATTGTATTTAAATGAGGAGGCCTCCTGACTTCCATGTTTAAGAATTCAACAGTGAAGTCTGTTAGGAATAGAGAATGTTGCAAATAATGATATCTCGCTGCTAGCTGTCTGAAATGCTACATTTGAATGCAGTATAGGATGGCTTTTCACTGTCTTGAATATAGCTAAGATGACTTAAAATAAATTTTGCTTCTTGCCATCTTTGCTGTTGCATCAAACGTGCATTAAACTGTCTGGGCAGTAATGTTCTGGTCCTGCTCAGCGAGTGAAGTGGTGTTCAATCGTTCTTTGCATCCATAGCTGCTTTGCGAGTGATTTGCCAGCAGTACCAGGGGTTTACTGTACATAAGGCAAACAGCAGCGTCTGGCTTTTTATGATCTATTGGCAGTGACTGAGGAAGGAAAAACTATGCCAAATACCAGAGTAAGCATCAGAGCTCAAGGGCATGCTACTAATTCTTGCACATCATAGGACCACATACTAACATAATTAGCTTTACATGTCCTGCAAATATTTCTGACCTGCAGACAATCCAAAAGCATGCATATATTTATCAACAGCTAAGCAGTCATTTGCCCTGGGAGTGGAATCTACCTATTAAAAAAAAAAAAAAAAAGTTACTTCAGTAGTAAGGCTTCCTACCTGCCTGTGTGCAACTATGTATTATACTACCAAGCAAGCAAAGAAATAGGAGCACTAATGTGGAGTTTAAATGTGTGTTAAAGCAGTGTACAGTAATACAAAGTTCTTAGGAAGGCACAGGAGCAGAGCGCTGCTGCTCTTTCTGAAGCACACAGGAGAGGGGTAGTGTAACCCCTGTTACAGCAAAGGATTGGTTTCTATTTTCTGCACAGGGTCAGTCTCCAGTAGAAGATCCAGTCAAGAGATTTCTTCCTCGAGTGTATGAACAGAAAGCTAACTTAAGGTGCAACTTGCAACCAAAGCAAGCCATATGTCAAAGGACATATGCAGAGTTTTCAGGAATACTGAAACTATGGGAAGGAGTTGATTTGCTCTGTCAAATCTATTCTTGTCCTTTTATATTTGTAAACAGCAGTATCATCCACTGTCATTACTAAATATTAACTTTCACTGTCAGATATACGTGCAAATCCAGAAGTAAATAGTGAATTTAGAGCGTGCCTTCCCAGCTACTTAATTGAAAAAAAAACCACACGGTCCTAGTATATTATTGATCAGACTGAATATTCAGAGCGCAAATACAAACACTCCCAGGAAGATGATGTTCTCTCCCCTTGTTGTTGTGGGAGGGTTGATTAGTCAGCATTCTTTGTGGTATTGATCATGTCTACATAAGCAGGCAAATTTTCTAGTTCTGTAACTTCTCTAATACAGTTATATTCAATCACATCTTTCCAGTATTCAGAAAATTTTTGAATTAGAAAATTGTTCTTGTTGCTCATTCCATTTTTGTTGGTTTGTATCATCCTTTTGTTGTCTTTCTGCTTTATTCTCCAATCCTCTTATTCAGAGACTTTTTGTGACATGCAGTGATTGGTCTCATTTTTATTGCTGATCCTCTTCAGCATGTTTTAAAAATGTTGTCTGCACTTCAGACATTATTGCAATTTTAAGGTCTGGCATGCAGCATGTGACAGCTGTCAGAACTGTTGCACCTCAGTTCACAGTTATTTGTATAATTCCTGTTGCTGGATGATATTTGTGTTAAGTAGTTGTTCCTTTTTGAGGAGGAAACAAGGTGTTACTGTTCTCAAGTATGTTATGTGTTTGAACACTAAAATAAAAAGGGGTATGTAAGTAGGGAAACTTCCTTGTGTGATAACGGTATGGATGTGGTCTTAATGCTATTTGACAGTGTGATTCAGTATTTAAGATAACATGAAAATTGATTCCAATCAGTTTATATTGATTGCAGTCAGCTTATAAGACAGATCTTCTTCTGAGACAGGCAATTCTGGTCCCATCACGAGATGGTTCGAAAGCTGAAACAGTGGTATAATTTTTGCCCGTTTATGCATCTGTTGTTTCTTTTCTACAATAGGAGCATGAATCTGAAGGTGGGAGAACCCCACTAATGAAGGCTGCACGAGCTGGTCATTTATGCACTGTGCAATTCCTTATTAGCAAAGGTAAAATACTAGTTTAAATAACCAATTTAAAAATGTAAAATGCCACTTTACAGTTCTGCATGTTTGTGATCCTTCTTCAACATTAATCTGGTTATGTGTGTGTGAGCATTTGTCAAACCATTAAGGATTTTTTGAATTTCATTTAGTTCATGATACAATGAATCACAAAATATTTTGCTAGTTACTTTTCCTACTCTGTTGTATAGATTAATAAGTAGATTTGAAGTACAGCAAATATTTTCAGTTTCTTAAAGCACTCCCTCCTTCAGGAAAAAACACATCCTCAAGTACTGTCTGAAACATTAAAAACTGTAGCATGTAGTGATAGTGTTTAAGTGCTTAGAATGAAAATTTAGAAGTTGTGCTTTGTACACCATAAGCGTTCCCTCTCTCTTACCACTCACGGGGCCCACTGTTACTGTTGTTACTGTCTTGTCTTTACAAGATGAGGAGGATTATGTGTAGAAGCCATCAGTTATTCAAAATCCCTTGCTTTTATCCTGGAATTGTGTACAAATTAGGAAGGTTAGAAGAGAAAAGTTTATCTCTATGCCAGAAAATACTGTACTTGTTGATACTTTCTTTCAGAAAGAATTTCCTTGTGTTTAATTCTGAGATCTTCTCTTTATAGGTGCCAATGTTAACAGGGCTACAGCTAATAATGACCACACGGTGGTGTCACTGGCATGTGCGGGAGGCCACCTGGCAGTTGTTGAGCTCCTTCTGGCTCATGGTGCAGATCCTACTCATCGGCTCAAGGTATTCACTTAAAGCTATACATTTATCATAAGTACTGAAAGAACCAATGTAGTTGATTTAATGGATTAGTAAATGTGCAATTTTAAATGGTCTAATTCGTATCTTATGTGCTACATCAGGTAGCAAAATTCATCTCCTGGCTTTTTATTTCCAAAATATCACTTCAGGATGGCTCAACAATGCTCATTGAAGCTGCCAAAGGAGGACATACAAATGTTGTTTCTTACTTGCTGGATTACCCAAACAATGTTTTGTCGGTTCCTGCAGCAGACTTGTCTCAGCTCACACCTCCATCTCAGGATCAGTCTCAGGTAAGGCATAAGGACTTTTTTTTAAAATATCATCATGAATATTGCAAAGAAGCACTTCCTTAGTAGTTAACTTCTGAAGCTAATTTAGATGTGAACATATACAGTGGAACAAATTAAAAAACGTCTAGGCATTTGAAAATGGGAGAGAGTGAGAAAGTTGATTGGTGTTGTCTGCAGTGTCCTGAAGAGTACATGAACTTTGTTCCCTTTTCTGCTCCTTAGACAGGATAGTCCCAAACCTAGTATCTCAAAAGAATATTATTTTCTTGGTTGCATTTACTCAGTATGTTGTTTCAACAGTTCTAAACCCTTGTGACAGTACCCCTCAAATGTTTTTGCTGATTTTTGTTGTTATATGAAAGAAAATATATGGTGTAAATTTAGAATTCTGCAGGCTGGAGAGGTAGCTGTCCAGTGCAGTTAGCTGATTAAAAGCCTAAAGATGTTAACAGTTTTCCAGCCTACACAGCCTGGAATTTTGTGAAGAGTAACATAGTTAACTTTGACATATTATGCACAATAAAATAGCATGGGACGGGTCATACCAAGAGGCAAGCATTAGAATACACAGTTTGGGAAGAGTGGAGGTCTGCTGTAGAAACATATCTTTGTATTAACACTTCAAGATCTGGTCCATTCAAAAGGTTTTTTTTTTTTATCTGAGTGTATGTCTGTGGCTTTGTTTTAAGGTTCCACGTGTACCGGTGCATACACTTGCTATGGTTGTACCTCCCCAGGAACCTGACAGAACCCCTCAAGAGAACTCACCACCTCTCTTGGGAGTGGTGAAAGGTTAGTATGTAGCCACTCAGAGAATATATGCAATTTGGAAACTGATAGGCTGGGGATAATTTTATTAGAGCCTATGCATAGATAGTCCACTCCGTCAATTCTTGAACACCTCTAATGAAGTATCACTTAAAAGTATTTTATGTAGTACATAGGTTTTGCTTATTTTCTTGTATTCTACAGTATAGTAACACTGGTTATTCTAATTTCATTAGGCTTACTCTAATTTTTTTGGAAGAAAATTATTGTGGTAACTGCCATAGTGCAGACTGATAAAAAACCCAGTAAACTCTAGGTGTGGTATTTACTTTTGAATATTGCACATTGGTCATCTGGAATAGTTGCAACTATTATCAATGAACTTGACGTACCAACTTTTTTCTGTTCCTACAGTAGCAATGCAAATGTGTTGGCACTGTAAAATGCCAATGCAGATCTACTTACAGGAGAATTTTTCTTCTATTAGTAATAGTACTCTTGTAAGTAATCATAACATGAGGGTTTTTGCTTTGAACATGATTGAACTGATTAGTTAAAACTATTTGCAGTCATTAAATGGCAAATTTAGCAGTTTGTTTCTAGCTATGGATTCTGTAACAAATTCTTCGTGTCTGCTAAGTCAGCTCAGAAGGAGAAACATATTCTCAAATGGAAAGTTACAAGCTGCAGCTCCTAGTGATTTACAGTTTTGGATGGGAATATTAAATATTATAGTATCCAAAGCTCTGTTAGCTAGCTTTACTTAATTCCTTTACTCTGGAAGTGCTCAGTGCTTCCCAAAACAAACAATAAAAAAAAAACCCAGGGGCACAAACGAAGAGAGAAAAAAAATTGCGTACCTAACGGTGTTTTTGTGCAGCCATGACTCTCTCCATGCATATATGCCATGTGTGTGACTTCTTCAATGCAGTTATTGTACCTTTTTCCTAGGATGTGCAACACTTGATATTTTGGATTTCATAAAAATGAGTACCAAACAAATGAAAAGAATATGCAACTTCTGGTTCAAAAAGCTATATACCAGCACGTGTGCCCTTACAATTAAAGAACTATTAGTATTGCAAAGTGGGTTAGTGTTCTGGAATTACATTTTGTGATGCATGGGAATCAATGAGAGATTAGTTGATACTGAGTCAGAACACTGAAGTTATAAGCTTAAAGTGTTATGCTATTTAAACAAATCATGAAAAGGAAATAGTTGATTGTAGTTTAAAAAATAGCTCTCAAAAAAAAAACTTACTGCAAATGTCAGCACATATTTTAGGCATGTTTTTAGCAGTACTGTGTTGTTGGAACTGGCACAGATCTAGTTGTTCTCAGTGTTTCGGAACATGTTTCATGCGTGTCAGCGCAACTAAGGTGTGATGCGTTGCAAGAGATGTAGCAATCTGAAATGTGTCATTGGGCTGATGGAAGCATTCCTGAAAACTTTGTGTGCAGAGCTCTTGTGTATCTCAGATCCTTAGGAGAAAAATGGTATTTTTGTGATAAACACGGTGTGATCGTTGTAGTGATACCACTCTGCTACTTTAACTGTGAAGAGTTAGTGTTCTTTGCTGAACTTCCATTCTTAACTTGTTATACACATGTGGCTTTAATATACCAGACTTTCATCGTTAGGCTTCTTGGGAGATGAGGGGCAAAAGAGGGTGCGAATAAAGGGGTGTTCATTATTTCCAGGGGGGGAGCAGTCTTAAGTTCTTATGCAACAAAATTTTTTATCCTGGGGAACACAAATTTATCACCTACACAGTTAGAAGTAGCCCCCTCAATTTTTGTATAAACTCTTTAACTCCTTGCAGGAAGGAGAGGAGCATCTAGCCTTCCTAACCTCAGCACAGTCTGGTGTTTAAGGACCTGTATTAGTTTTGAAAGAAATGCAATAGTAACAGCTTTTTCCTGAATAGTTCTTGGCAAGTCAGGTGCAAAACTAGAATATGCTTGTATGTTACTTTATGATTCAAATATGGTGTGAGGTTTTTCAAGAGGAATTTATGGTCTAATTTTGAATTATATTATTATTCTTCAGTAAAGTAAGAAAGCGTGCAGAATAGTTGCGATTTGAATAATTATTTTGGCAAACAATTTAATATCAATGCTTAGCAACTGAAAAGAGAAACATTTCAGAGCTGACAGTGGATCTAGAGAGACTCAGGTAAAGGTGATACACAAAGATGGTAATGTCCTAAAGAGCTGAGGAAAAAACAGGTGAAAGAAGCAGCAGAATTAGTTCAACAGGACTGAACAGACCTCAACTCTTACATGCTTAGGAAGGATTGTTTTTACTGCACTACGTTTAGCATGTGTCCATCGTGTCCATGTAAAAGTGAAATCCAGTGAAGTTCAGCTTTTTGTGCTTTCATGGGGAGAGGCAGGAGATCCCTTCTTGGTGTTTTGTACTTGCTGCTGCCCTCACTTGAACACGGTCAGGATTGCTCAGCAGCCAGCAGCAATTCTGATGCAGCAGCTCAACATGGAGAGTCTTTTTGGCTAGAAAAAAAACAAATGTGCTATTTCTGCAGGACCAGAGGTCTCTCCTGCTTTACATTGCGAGGGGGTGTAAAGCACAGTGAGTATGATGCAGCTCCAAGTACCCCTGCCCGGGCAAGGAGGTCTCGGTGCCCAGCACATGAAATGGTCAAAAGGAATGCTGTTGGATTTCTTCAGGAAATCAGCTGGTGTAATAGTGTTGCCATTGATAATCTTGTCTAGTTTGTAAATGCAAGCTAATGTTTAATAAGAGTGGGGTCTGAAGCCTCCAGTGGTGTTTTTGATTCTGCCTTAGTCTTTGGCAGAGCGTGCCTGGTGACCACAGTTGCTTGAACCCATGGCACCTTTTTAGAACATTATTGAAAAACAACATGCTAGTGCAACAAGGTGCTCAGGAATTCTGTGGGAAACAGCAGGATTGTTTTCTTAAACGAAATATTTGAACTATTAAGGTGTTTTTAAATGTGCCAAAACTTAAAGTAGTCTATTTTTGGAGGCTGAGATATCAGTTATTTTGTAAGTTTTTCTCCAGATTTGCTTTACTTCATAGCTAATCTGAAATTGTGCTTACAAATTAACTAATTGGCCTTAATTGAGTGCTTAATACCTATCAACATGCTGTCATTAGACTTCTCCACTGTCGTTTTTAAGTGGGCCGTAACTTGCAGCATTTCTCATTTGGGGCGCATGTTTTTTTAGAATTCCACAAGACTTAATATGCTTAAGTTATTCACATGAAAGCTGCCCCCATCTGCCTTTGATCCCTGGGAAGGAGACCTGAGTTCCCTTAAAACTGAGTAGGATTTTTGGAATCTGTAAGCTTTTTAAGTTAGACCTTCATTATACGGTATCCCCTGTATCCCCATGCTAAATCTAACAGTCTAATGGCTTGGAGAAAGGAAAGAAAAACAAACTCCACATAGGTTCAATAACTACAAATTTAATAAATATTTTTTACTCCAATATCTGACGTCTATGCCTAATACTGAGTTATATACTGGCAGGGATCTCGTACATTGTGTGATTTAATTGAAACGGGCAAATTGAACAGTAAAACTAAGAAGATTATATTGTTCTCATTGAGGTGAAGGCATTAAAAAAGCAAGCTGATAATTCTGACTCCTTTCAGACTTCTCTACTCCACAGTCCAGCTGTCTGTTTTTGTTTCATGTGCTTCAACATCTTCTGATTAACTCTTGCCATTTCCTATGTATTTTCTGCCTGGGTCAGCAGTTGACCCAGTTACCTGGGATGAATTACCAAGTGAAATGTAACAGTCCATGCCTCATGGCTTGCTAACTTCACTAATACTTTCTTAGTAGACTTAAAGACTTGTTACTCTTTATGCAAATCTTTAGCAGTCCAGGTAGATGATTTAAAAACAAGGCACGTGTAAGTCCCCAAGAGCACAAGCATGTAAAAATCTTTTCACCGTGGTTTGTGAAATTCCGTTCCTTTGGAGCTTCAGTCACCTGCTTGCCACCACTAATTTAATTGCATCTTAGCAATTTTCCAGTTAGATACTGTCAAGCCACCAGAGGAAACTTGGGAAGAAGACTAAGATTGGAAAGTAACTCAAATTTTTGAATGTCAGAAAATTGAGTTAAGTTTGGCTTGGTTTCAGCCATGTAACCATTGCCTGTTGCATATCATTGCACCTATTCCCTGCAAGTTTTCCGTAGAAACAGCTGCAGGAGTGATAAAGATTGGCAAAAATACTGCATGGTTCGTGGGAGGAACGTAGAGAAAATACACACTCATCTCATCTGATCATTCAGCCCTCCACAAATTGTCCTGTTCTTTATAAAGAAGAATTAAGTATGTATTAAAACCAATGTAGCCAATGAATTTACTTGGGAAAAGTAGCCTACTTTTTTGTTGCCCAACTAGCCAGATAATATAATATTGTACTTTGTATTTGTGTATGAATTGACAGATTGTTTCCCCAGATTTAGAGCTGAATTTCTTACTGATACGAATTACAGTTAAACACAGAATTTTCATGAAAATTCAATATTGAGCTCATCTTACTCCTGTTGATGAGGCTGTTGAATTTTAATTGCAGACTGCAAATCTAACTTTCGACTTCTGAATGAAATCAGATTTTTAAAAAACCCTACAGTGCAAGAAAAGTGGACAAGCAATTCTGTTAACAAAGCACAAAGATCTTAGTATGGATTTATGCTTCCTGACATCTACCTTCTGTGACATGAGGAACAGACTGAATCTGTATTTTTGGTTGGTTGTTTTTGTGCTGGGGTTTGGGGGGTGGTGGTGGTGGTTTTTTTGGTTTTTTGACTTTTGGTTTGGGTTGTGTTTTTTTTTTTTTTTAAGTTCTAGGTAATATTACCTATCAGGATGACATGGTGATTCATACAGATTTGTATACTAGGTATTGGTTCCAGCAGAGAAGATGTATTTGAATGTACAAATGTGTATCACACAGTTGACTTTCGTTGCTGTCATTTTTTTTTCATGCTGGAAAAATCTTTTGGAATTTAACTGTTTGATTT